ATAATTTATAGCAGCTTTCGAGCAGGTAGGCATGCAAAGGAGAGTCAAGAGATTGCATATTTGAATTATTTAAACATTTTAATTAATAAAGCGTTCTGGGGTTGATCCCACCAGAAGTGCTTCACAAAGCCTTTCTGGGTTATGCAGGAGGAGTTAAGCTGGGTTCTTGATAAACACGGTTCATTTTCTAAGCACTGAACATCTCACCTACAAATTTCACATACGGATGCTGTGTTGCAGACGTTCCGTGGTCTTCCAGTACTGCAGCACTGTCTGGGCAGCCCGTCCTGCTGGGGGAAGGTTTGTGGAGAAGCAGTTGGTGGTGATGTGCCCAGAACTGCAGCAGGCTGCCAATGTGACTGGCTGAGGCTGGTAGGCTCAGCTTTGCTCCCTTTCCCATGGGCAGAGCTGAGTGTTGGCACTTGGGGTGGTAGAGGGGTCCCCTGTTGGCATCAAGGCAACAAGTCTTCAGCCACAGCTCTTCCATCAGCTCTGCGTGGCAGCAGCACAGGGATCTGGCTGGACAGGGTCTTGCTCAGGTGGGAGCTTGCTCTTAAACCCATGGGCACGTGGGAAACTAAAGCCCAGCACTGGCAATGTATTGTAAGGAGCCTGGCTGGTCCTTGGGGCTTCTGGGAACTTGCTCTTGTTGCAGGCAGACCCGCAGGGATGCTGAGGTGGATGGTGCTCTTTAGCCTGGTTTACGTCTTCTGCAGAAGTCATAGCAAATTTTGTCTAAATATGTGCGGCCTCTAAGGATCTGTAATAATATAAGCTGATTATTAATATAAGCTGTAGCTTGAAATGCATCTCTTCTTGGAGCCATGCCATAAATATATTCAGCAGAGTGGAAAAGAGGGTCCAACATGCTGCACTCGGGTTTTCCAAGGTTTCTTATAAAAGAAATAGCAAGAAAATGATTCCACGCCAAGTCTTCCTTTAGGAGGCTGATGTACCAGCTGATAGCTCCTGGTTACAGTGCAGGACAAAACGTGAAGGAATTTCACAGTCACCTTCCCCTTGCAGATGAGCAGATATCTTCAGTGCAAGGGGAAGTCCTGCCCTGGGACAGCAGCACCAACACTCACCTCCATGCCCAGCCACGTCCCAGCAGTGCGATCCCTCCGAGAGCACAGCAGGGTGAGCCCCACCGCGAGGTGACTGCATGCAGTGGAGCACAGTGCCAGAATTCAGGCATGAAAAGGGTGAGATCCACATTTGAGCACACACCTCTCCCAGAGCGACAGACAGATTTCCTAAATCCCTGCTTTCCAGCCCAACTCCACCTAAGGCTGTTCCCACATCTCCATCTCTGCTTGGATGCACAGGCAGATGTGTAGGCCGACACGCAAACAGCTGAGGAACCAGGTCACAGGGCCATCCTTCAGGAAGCTCATCAAAGCAGCTGCTTCATTACCTGACAACTAATGCTGTTGTGTGAAAGCAGAATGAGGGCAAAGGCTCACCAGGTGGGAGCGAAGCCCACTGGCTCCACGCATGGTCACCAGACATAAGGATGTGTGAGCCCAGATGTGCGTGTTGCTGGGGGCCTGCTGGAGCCAGAATCATTAAGGTTGGAAAGACCTAGCCCAGCCATCAAGGATCCAATAATTTGAGGGCTTGGCTCTGTGCTGATGTGGGTACTTGGCTTCTGCAGGCCAGGGGTTGCCCCCAGCACTGCCAGTGGAATGGATGACACAAAAGAGACCTGGGCACTTCAGGACCATTTTGCAGTACATGTTTGGCCAGGCAGATCCCAACCAGTGCCTGCATGGGATGCTGGGGCCTGGAGCACCCATCTGTGTGACAAGGACAGGCTTCCAGGCTGGATGTGGCTCTGGGCAGCCTGGTCTGGTGGTTGGTGACCCTGCCCATAGCAGGGGGTTGAAACTAGATGGTCACTGTGGTCCTTTTCAACCCAGGCCATTCTATGATTCTAAATAGCTGCTGGGCCTGGGGACTCACAGAGGCCCAGTGCCCTACAGGGTAAGGGAAAGCTTTGCTGGGCACAGCTCAGTGGGTTCCTACTGACGTGACACTGAAAAGATGCTTTTGGGAGTGTTTCCCATCAGCGAAGAGATGCTCTGGGCTCCCAGTGCTACTGGGCACTGCCACAGAGCTGCCCCAGCCCCATCTTTCTTATGCATGCATACATTAAAAAAGCAATTTGAGGGAAAAAGTTCTCAAGGGTGACTGCTGCAAGAAACTAGAAAGAGGTGTAGGAGCAACGTGATATTCTTGGGTTTTGGCATTCTGATTTTGTGTCTATTAATAATCCGCCGAGTGAGTCATATGGAGATGCATTTATGCACTGAGTCGGAGAGAGCTGCTGCCCAAAATAGCAGCTCTGTAATTTTTTATGATGCTGTAATGCCAGCACGGTGCAGATTGACATCACTTAGCAGAGCCGCTGGCTGGCAATCAGCTCACCCGTGTCAGGCCCTGAAATAAACACGGCAGCCACGTGCTGCATTACATAAACAGCGACGGAAGCCATCGCCTGTCAGAAGTGCCTCTTTCCCATTTCCTCCAGCTCTCCCTCCTTTCATCCCTTAGCAAAAGCATAAGCCCTGATCACCTGTTTTCTTACACTGGAGCATGAGGAGTTACAAGGAGTAACAGTTCCACGTACCTGGTGCGCTCATGAGATGAAGCCAACTGTCCAGAACAGCTTGACCAGAATATTTACATTTTATTAAATCTTTACAATCAGCAGTTATAATCAAGTACACAATTATGTACACAGATTATATACATTTTAGCCCAACCTTTTACATCACAGTACATCGTTGCCCTTAGAAATATTGTATATGCTTACCACCAGACAGTGAAACCCAACAGAAGTGTTACAGCACCTGTTAGTAGACATCTTCCATAAGAAAATATACGGCTGTAAATCGGGCTGGCTAAAAAGAAAAAAAATCCTATAAAATCTGAACATACAATATTTCATTCACAGAATGTTTCTCTATGTTCTGAGTGACGGCTCTGCGCACCACGGCCCGTTTCTAACTTCTCACCAATGCTTTTCCATGAGCAATGCCTTCAAGAGGAGGAGAAAAAGCTGGGCTCTGGCTTTAACTTCTTTGAGAAACAACACGTGTAAACAATTAAGAATATTCCTCTAAAATCAAATTGGCTAATCTGAATTACATGGCACGGAGTAAGTGTGGCTCCAGCCGGGTTCCTGAATTCAGTGTTCAATGCTATACAAACCAATGTGCAATTCCCAAAACGAAGGGCGACTGCTGATGAACAATGGACGAGCAGTGCTCCACCTGGAGCAGACAACCCAGAAAGAACGCTTACTCTCCTCTACAAAAGATGATTTAAAAAAATAATAATAATAATTAATACATTCTTCTTGCTTTTTAAGATGAGAGTGACAGAAAACCGAACTACTTTCAGCATGATATAAGGTCAACTAACGCCATCTCCTCCCAAGGAAACACCAAATGAAAACAACCTGAATTGAACTGCCCCCTCACCCTTTCTGCTTTCCCAACAGGTCGCTTCCACAGGTCTGTACACCTCCCCTGCACCGCTGCGGCTCTCGTGGTCACCTCCAAGCAGAGCAGAACAAAAACACAGCCCTGGAGGAGGGAGGTGATGGGCACCTGCAGACGGCCACTGCCAGGCACACCCACACCCTGCACCACGGCCAGGCAAAGGGCTGTTTGCTGCTTTGGCCACGGGGGTGGATGAGCAGCCAGAGGTGGGCTTGTGGTGCCAAGGGAAGCTCAGCTTTTAGGAAAGTTTTACATTACGCCTAATTTTCTGCAGGTTAAAAAGGATGCACCACCATAAGCTTGCATTGCAACATTGACAGTCTTAACACCACAATCAGAGGACCTCTATACCTAGAAAATATAACCCTGCTTTCCCCAAAAGAACTACCAAGCATGAAGGTGCAGTCCATGCTAGAGAGCACTGAGAACAGCAGCACTCTGCTGTGGCACAGGCAGGCAGAGACCCGTGGGATGACACCCAGCCCGCTGCTGGGCTCACAGCTCCACTAACAAAGGGCACTTATGGCTCCTATGGTCCAAACCCTTCCATGAAGAAACCCACGTTACAACAACAACAAAAAAACCCCACATAAATACAAAATCCCCCAACTGAAAAACCTTGGCTGCTGCAAGCACTCAGCTCAAACCTCCACGCAGTTATCTGTGCAGAGGAATAACTACATTGGAAAGCTGATTTATTTTAAAGGGATGCTTATTCACTGTTTTGCTACCTCTTCGTTTCCTCCTCCAAATCACCTCCTCCTGATTTAACGTTATCATTCAATTTACATACATGGTTCTGACTGCCATGCTCCCAAAAGGTGCCTGGGCACTTGCAGCTCCTGAAAGCAGTGTCGTCACATACACATGTATACAGCGTTTGCCTGGGATTTCCATTCATACTGTACAGGAGTATACACAAATAAATACAGTATGGCTGTACTAATAACAGTTGCATATTCAGCACGCATAATTTCACCAGCTAAAAGAAAGGTGCACTTCAGACTGGGACTTTTTTCTTTAAAATATCATAAGGACCAATATATAAGCCTTCATTTCTAGTCTGGCGCAGCATATAGGCAGTGTTCATTTATTTTCTAATATAAAACAATTCTTCTCTCTAAAAGCAGTTTATATAAATCAACTGACTGACCATTTGGCAGTTTCTTTGGACACGGGACATCTGGGTTGTCTAAATAACCCTGCTTTCATTGCAGTAAGGGAGATAACAACCAGGACTCACTCACCTGGGACACGCTCCCAAAGCCCAGAGCAGCACAGCAGCCATCCTCACTGCTCCCATCGCTGCAGCCCCAATAGCCCCCATTGCTGCACTGCACTGGCCTCACTGCCCGAAGCATCATGCTACAGAAGTTGCTGTTAGAAGAAAGACTTGGGGAAAAAAGGAAGATTTTTATTACAGCAGATCTAATTCTGCTTAGTGTGCATTCAGGGGATATTGCCAGGTGAAACTGTGCCTTGGGTAGGGCTCAATGTTTGCCCCAATCTCTTTATCTTCACCTCACGTGTAACTTTCATAGCACACTGCCATCCTTAACCTGGCAGCCCCAAAGGAACCAGGCCATCCTCGTTCCCTGACAGCACCTGCTTACAAAGCACACTGCCTTTGGTTTGTGCAGGTTTACCAGCTGGAATTGAAGCAAGAGAGAAAGCTCACAGGCCATCTCAGTCATTCTTCACGCAGCAGATGGAAGGAGCAACGAGCAATGCCACTGTGTCTCGGTGCAATACGTCAGAACAAAACCAAACTGCTTCTACCTGTGTCTTACAGATACAGCAACTGGAAACATCGCTTCACATGCTGCTAGTGAGGAAGGCCTTCAGAGCAAGAGGGGGTTCAGGGAAACCAGGCACAGCTCTGCTCCCAGCAGGGCAGCAGCCATCCTGCTGCCTCCAGGTGCTCCTGCTGGTGGCTGCTGAATGGTGCTGGCAGCCCCACGTGCTCAACTTGTGCCTCCCAGAGGCCGAGGCAGCATCACCTCTGGGCACCTGGCAGGCAGAAGTCAGGCTCTTTCCCTGAGCAAACCTCCTGGGATACAGCACCGCGCAGTGGGGCCACACGAATGCTTCAATTGCACATTCCCATTTTTGAACAGGAAAAATTAAAACAAAGAGCGCGTGCTGGATTTCTATGATAATTTCCAGGTGAAACCTGGTTGCTCATCACAATACTGAATATGTTTTCTAGTTCTCAGTTATCAGGGCCTCACTTCTACCCAAAGAGTTCTCCATTTGTTTACTAGCAAATAAGTTATTACTACAAGTCATAGTTCATCCTTTTCCATCATTTCAAATGCTTCTATATCTTCATTCCAGTCTGCTAATATGGATTCCATAGGTTGAACTTTATTGTCCCAGTTAACTTTGGAGTCTGACTCTGTCTCAGTCTGCTGTTCCTGAGGCTGCTCATCCCCTTGTGTGCATGCTGGCTCTGAAGCATCAGCCTCACCAGGTCCAGGGATGGAGGAATCCTGATCTGAAGTGGAAATGCTGTCAGTGTCTGCCTGAGCAGGAGATAAGGAATCAGGGTCAGAAATGTCAGAGCTTTCTCCTTCTTCAGGCTCCTCACTGACTGCGCCAACATCCTGAGATGCTGAAGAAGCTTCTTCTGAATTTTGTTTGTGCGAATCATTTTCAGACAATTTCTGGTCCATATTCTCCATTTCCAAGTCTTTGAAAGGGGAGAGAAAGAAAACATTTTGAAAAATACAGGAAGGCAGCATTCTACTGTGTAATTCAAAAGCAAAGTTACTTCCTTTGACCTTACTCCTCAAGGAAGTGCAAACTTGCTGTTGATAGGAAAACTATTAAGGAACATATATTACAGAGGGAGGGGATGGAAGACATTTAATCACTACAGAGGACAAGAAATCTACTGAGGCTGGTTTTAGAGCCTCAAACTTGAATCACAATTTCCGGGCAAGCGCTAGCTGTCACTCTTCAGACTTAGCAAATACTCCAGTATCTGCCTAAAGCCAGGCACTCCTAGGCCCACCAGGATCACACATCCATGGCACTGGGAGATGCACTTTTGCTTGCTAAACTGAATTACGAGAGCCAAAGCCTCCCTCCTCACATCCCCATTCACAACAACTAACGCTGATGTCTCTAGCACTGATTTAGTTTCCAGCTTCACAGCAGCTGCCTGAATTTAACCACACAAATTTCTTTGGAGCTTAATGTTTGCAACTAGTATCCAGGATGCTAATACTGCAAGCCCCCAAGGGAGTTTAATTGCATATGCCATTTTAATACAGGATACTTACTGCTATCAATAATGTAGTTTGGAATCGTTTTACCTTTAAAGATTGTTGCTGGGATTCCAAACGAAAGCACAAGGAAGGGGGAAGAAGCACATACGTATTACAAACTCTCAAATGCAGAACTATCTTTTGCATTTAGTATTTTGTTATATTAGCTTGACCATAGTTATGAACAAGAGGAATTTGTAGCAGCTATCAAAAAACAATCCTGTAGCTTTCAAAGCATCTCCTCTACAAATGTGCAGAAAATTAATGCTGCTCCTAGCTTACTTGCATCAATAAAGCAGTGCTACCAGGAAGGCTTTCAAATGGAAAGCCTAGAAATTTCTGCCATATGCAAACATTTCAATTTGAAATGTATTAGCTTGTAATTTTCTAGTATTACTTGAAGACAAATTGCAAAACGTCTGAGGTCAGCAGCCTTATTTCTCATGATAACCTCTGAAAAGTGGTTAGACAGGCAAAATAATTTTAATAGCTGTCTTTTTCTTTCTGGGTACCAAGAATGTCACTGGGGAGTTTGATAAGTGAGAGGCACTTACAATGTAGGGCACTGGAAACACTTGCACTATTTCAGATTCTACTTCAAAGCAGATCATGACAAAAAGGGTTCAAAAGGAATCTGAAGGACTGCATTGTCTCATTATTCAAACTGACATTTAACTTATGAACAGCATCTCTGGATGTCAACGTTAACTCAGAGGGGCAAGGCCAGGGAGGAAGGCACGACAACACATTTCTGATAATGGCTTTCATATGATAAAACTAACAGTAAGGTCAGACAGAAAACTGACGTTACCAAAGAACACATTTACACCTTTGGGTAGCAACAGAAATAACTACTGTACATCTCACATTGTGCTGTGGCACAGACAGAACCTAAACCTGCATTAAAAAAAAAAGCCTTTAATCTTACCTCTATCTTTTGCTTTGTCAGAAAGGAGCACCTCCACAGCCTCATACTCCCTGATTGCATCCAGTATAATATTTCCTTCCTTGTTGAAGAGGAAGAGCATGGGGATTGTGATATCATCTGTATTCTTTCCATCACCGGCCATTTGGAAGAGAGGAGCTGTGTCACTGCTGCTTCCCTCGTTGTCATCTAGCCAGACATACACAAAGACAAAGCAAGCATGCCCCTCTGTTAGACAGACAGGCTACAAACTTCAAGTAGCTTCCTACTGCCCAGCCAGCTGGGAGGACACCAGGCAGAAAATGGGAAACTGGTTGCAAAAAGCCAATTTTTGTACTCCGTCCCCCTACCATTTTTTCCATTCATTTTGTATTTCAAGTTTTCCCTAGTCTTTACTGTTTTAACATCCAGTGATCCTTAGAATAACAACTTTTGAGCTGCAAAACCAGAGGCAATCACCCACCATGATTTGTTCATGCACAACCAGACATAAACAAAACATTTCTTTATCCCTGAAAACAGTTTCTGTGCTGAAGTACCACCATCTCAGTGAGTTTAACAGCCTTGTCAGCTTTCCAATATCTTCAAATGTGTAAAACACAGGTTACATTTACACGTATAAACTAAAGCTTTATTTACCAATAACAATGCCTCCTATTGCTCCAGCTTTTTGAATGTTTCGTGCCTTTTCAGCAAACATACACTGGCCTCTTTGCATCAGGGCAATTTTCTCTTTCACTGCTTCAGGATTAGTGATCTCTGAGCATCCATTATACGGCTTAATGGCTGCAACAAATCCTCTTGTCTGCGTGGAAAAACAAAACCAAAAACAAAACAAGAGAATTAGAGAAGTAGGTTCAAGCTTGCAAAAGACTCCTAAGCATTTTATTTCCTTCAGTTAATCTAATGCATTAAGTGTACTCAGTCAGCACAGGAAATCTTCCCCTGGAGCTAAGAAACAAAGAATGGCCACGTGAAAACCTAACTCTCAAAACTCAGCATGTTTTGTCTGTACCTGTGAACTGCTGTCTCTGGAAAACTGTATGCTGTGTACCAATAGTCTAAGACTCACCTGTTGGGCTGCACCCAGTGGAACTCATGGGATTTTCCTACTGCTTTCAGTACGAACTGTTGCCTCTCTGACAATTTCTCCTTCTTTCCACATACAGCCCTTTATGGAAGCTCATGTAACAGCAACTTACTCCAACTCTAAAAGGGCTTCTGCAAACCCATGGCTGACATGGTATGAAAACCAGCCCTTAAAACTGAATACCTCTTGAGAAACACAATGCAGATTATATGAATGTGTTTCAAAGTCATACTGTGTATGTGTATTAAATCCTAAATCACGACTGATGACTTGGAGTGGATCAATAAGCCACCCATCTAAAAGACCCTGTTTTGACATTGCACTATCCTGTCATTTTAACCTCTTTCATTACCCTCTAGCTAGCCAACCTGAAATACTCATAACTTCAATACCAAAACATTTAGGACTAGAGGGAATGGTTTCAAGCTGCGCCAGGGAAGATTCAGGCTGGATGTCAGGAAATACTACTTCTCTGAAAGGGTGATCAGGCAGTGGAATGGGCTGCCCAGGGAGGTGGTGGAATCCCCTTCCCTGGAGGTGTTCAAGGAACGTTTGGATGTTGTGTTGAGGGATATGGTTTAGCGAGAACCATTGGTGATAGGTGGATGGTTGGACTGGATGATCTTATAGGTCTTTTCCAACCTTAGTGATTCTGTGATTTCAGCTTAAGCAATAAGGAAAGTAACAAAAAGCTACAATCACATACATTCTTACATACCCCTGATTTGTGTTTAGATAAATCCATCCCAAATTGTGCTGGTCCAGCAGTCAAGACCACCCTACCGAAGAATGGGTGGGAAACTATCTGAACAGCACGAGGAGGTAGCTGCTGCTCTTTCTGCTGCTGACTGGAGAGTTCAATCATTTCCTGCATGAACCGTAAGCCATCTTCAGCATCAAGTGAACTTGCTGCCTAAGTTGATAAAAAAAAAAAGTTTCTCCATAAGTGTTCAACGAGCTTGGGGAAAGAAACCTGAAGACCACCATTTACATTACATACATTGGTAATTCAATGGCTCAGAAAACATAGTTTTCCTAACAAAACAATGCTACTGGCAAACATTTAGTGCTACGCAGACTTTAAGGTACAGACTGGAGGCTCCTGGCACTCATTCCCCAATTTGACTTCTCCGCATCTTCACCATGGTGCAGACTAAAAACATATTAGCAGGCAGGTCTCAAACAAAGAAATCTCTCACTCTGAAAACCTCATGCTTTAGGTAAATTGCAATTAGCTATGTTAATTTGACATGAAGTGCCTCCACCTAATTTAACAGAAGATTAAGTGTTATTGAGGCAAGACTTTAACAGCCATAAACCTGCTAAATACAGCTGCACATCCACCTCACATGCCCTCTTTCCACTCAGTCTGTCCCTCCTGAGCCTCTAAGTCTTAAATAACACAGCCAGCATGATTTTACCAGAAGTTTTCACAAGAGGTACTGCTGGGTCTTACTTGCACTGCATGCTGCACTAATTGCACTCTTCCATCTTTCAGATGAATCAAACTGACTCCCATCTTCTTCAGTATCTCCAAATGCTCAGGATTACTGGCCATGAAGTCTCTGGCTCTCAGTGGTGGTTTTGGTCCACTTCCCAAGCTCTCCTCTCTGATAAAAAGATATTTTAAAAAAAAGCATTAAAAAAAATCAGATTATTCTTGAGCCATAACTCTCACACAACCTCCCCAAGTTACGCCTACCACTGTGCTATGAGAGTTCTCTGGAATAAAGTTAAGCACAAATTTCAACAGACAGCAACTTCTCAGCCTTTTTTCAAAGCTGCTTATATCCTTGATGATTTTCTGCTGCAAAAAAGAACATGCGATGTTGACAGTAACAACCTACCATATGCTGCCTCTCATTCTTAAATAGTCTGTGCAACTGTAAAACTGATTAAAAACAGTTTTCCTGTTACACAGTTTTACTTATTAAGTATAAATATCAAAGAGGTGATCAGAACAATAAGGTTCCTCAACTTTAACAGACTGCCCTAAACTCCTCACAGTATATGCAGTGATGTATGGCAGCACTGTTTTCTTGCTACAGAAAAAAGTACTCAAGAGAAATTCCTTTTACAAATCATAGAGATGCATTTCCTGGTAATACCTGGGCTACAATTCCCACTTGAAGTATACAGCTCACAAAGCTCCTTTTGCTTTGACAGATTCACTAATTCCTGATGGAAATGAACAAAGCGTTGAAGAAGTCAGAAAAAACAGTTTTTTCCCATATCCAGAAGGAATGCAAACTCGAGCACAGCAAGCTCCAATACACCTCAAGCTTTTCCTCCCATGCTTAATAGATGTTGTTCTAGTCACTGCTATACTAACAAAAGACAGAATACATTCATCTTACGCTCTTGAAATACTCCTAGGACAGCTCTTATCCACCACGTTTTTCAAAGGTTCACGAATACTCTGAGCAAACATTGGGTCATTTGGGAAGAGGATCTGAGTGTTCGGACAGGTCCAGTCAAAGTTGCTGTCATCCAGCTCTGTGTATTCTGTAGTCTGAAACAAAAAATACAGATCACCAATTAAAAAGCAGGTTCCATTTTTATGAGAAGATGATCAACAAACAGACCTACCCTTGAGTCATCTGCATACTCAGGACACAGAGCAGCTGAATGCAATGACCACCTCATTACCACAAAGAGGAATACACAATTCTTCCATGCTTCTTCATGCAATGAAAAAGTTACCAGTGACCCACAGTCCCTTGGGGGGATAAGTACAGCAGTTCTAATTTGTAATTTGCCAGTCTCGCATCCAGTTTCTAGGATTTGTTTTTGGCAGAAACAGTTTATGACCAACCAGCAAATAGGACTTCTAAAGCCATGACAGCTCGTGTCCCTATTCTTGGTGCTGGACAACTAGACAAAGCAATTACAACTTCATTTGGTGCTGCCTGATTCTGTCTGAACCAGCTGCAGTCTTCAGTAATTCTTGCTTCATATTACTAAGACAGTCTCACCTCTCCCTTGAGTAAAAAGATGTTCTAAATAACATTGCAGGAGAATGACTTCATTCATAAAATAATACTCATGTATCATGAAATTTAAACAGATTTATATAGAAAGAAAACAAGAGTCTTCTTGAAAACCTTCATATGAACAAAATGCTCTTCTCCTTAGGAGTGATACAGGCTTGCAGGACTGTGAAGGGGTAAGGATTAATTTCTATTTTCAGAGTTGATGTCAGATCAGGAGTTAACATTTGCACAAGTTACTGTTTCATAATTTGAAATCATGTGAATCATCTGAAGAAGAAGATCCAAAGACATGTTTAGTCTCCTCTTAGTTTTGCATTGGATAACTGGATAAGTTAACTTTTCTGCTTAAAATTAAAAGGTAGTATTTATTTACTTTAAAAAAAAACCACCTATTTACAACATATTTAATGAAAACCAAATATTTAGAGGTTTCCTCAAAAACAAGATCTAAAAGGCTATTAGCTTACTGGAATAAACACTTTGAAGTAGCTATCCTCTTAGTGTGATGAACAGTAGGCATCTCTAAAGAAAGAAGGCCTGTAACACACTGCAAGTTCCAGCACACTAGGATATGACCTTTCCTGTTTATGAGAAAAAAACAAACAGGATACTGGGTTGCTACCACCAATTATCTCACAGGCATTTCGAATTAGTAGCACTATGTTTACATTAAAAATAAATTTACACATTCATTTTTTTCCCTTTTTTTTTCTTCACCCCATGAGATAAGTTCCATAATACAGCAAAACACCTTCACAGCCTCTCAGTCATTCTGCAGGATCATTATGCCAGCACTTGTGCTGCACTCCATTGGAGCCCAGGGACATAGGAACACAGTTTGCTGAGGTATTCCCAGGCCTGATCCTCTTCCACAAGGGTGTGTTTCATGCAAGTTGTCAAGGCCATTTTCTGCATTATCTTACTTTTGTGTCATATTTGTAGTTTAGACTTAAAACCTAAGTGAACTGCATTAGGATAAGTCACTCTATTCTCTTCTTTGTCCTTTTACTGAATATTTCCTGTTCTCAAACCACTACAGAAGTTAAGCCAGCACTTCACAGAGCATGCTCTGTAGGAATGCTGAGCATCTCAGAAAGAATCACTTCCTCATGCTGGGGATGAAAGCTGTGTAAAATTGTCTTTCAGACCCTTGAAAGAATTCCGTGCATAGTTTGAAAAATGCTGATCACACCAATCAACAAAAAATAAAAAAAGGGAAAAAATGAAGTTACACTACAGGTGCTGAAAGAGTTCAGTAGCACACAGAGTTCCTTTTAAATCCATATGAAATTCTTTCACCCCCCCCTTTCCAAAACTCAAAGATAAGAGATGATAAATGTTCACACACGTAACACTTAAAAGAGAGTAGGATCTCCAGCATTAAAAAACAATAAATCAACTCCATGACCCATGAAATGTATTACCAACACTGGGTGTTATAAGCAGGTCATTCAAGAAGTTTTCACTTCAAATACCATCAAACAGTGTTTACTAAAATAAAGGAATTCATACCCCTAAAGTCCTACAAACCCTCCTATTCATTTTTTCTCTCATTGCTTTGGCTTACCAGTTGTATTTGAATCCTGTAAGATTAACTATACCACCTTACTGGACAGAAGAATCAAAGAAAAGACTTTCTGTGATTCTTCATGGCACAATTTGAAATCACAGGGTATTTTGGAAGGCAGAGTTGATTTATAAATCCATTTACGTTCTTAAATGTACACAACAGAGGTATATCAGATGGACTGCAATAATTTAACATCTCAGAAGCTGTAACTGCATCTTGTCAAACTAAATTTGCAGCAGATTCAGGAAAAAGAACTTTGAAAATGTGCAGCCTGTGTAATGAAAGAACTGAACAACACTGCTACAATTTTAGAAAATTAAAACAAAATAGATACAAAGAAAAAATATTATACTGCCTTATTTTAGAATTTATACAGCCAGAAAGAGGGACCAATTCCTTTGAAATATCACTAATATTCCACAACTTTTTTCTCAAGACTCCATGGTGCAGAATCTGATTATGGGAATATAATTCATGCACATGTGCTGTCACTGCTCATATAATGAAACAGTTCACATTGAGCAGAGTGTCACAAACAGTGTAGTACAAATTACTATTTCTATTCCATTTCCTCTCTCTCTCTCAAAAGAAAGGGAACTGCTCCAAAGTACCACTAGAACTGATGGAAATCTGAGTTGTTACTTACTGTATTCTTTTTAGAGATGGTTTGGTTTGTGGTGGAAAGCCACAGTGGTAATAGATGTGCTTCTGTAGTGAATATATAATCCTCTATGTCAAATATCATGTCTTCCTTATCAGCAAATAGCAGGTAAAGATATTTAAACATCTCAGCCAGAAAGAAAGAGTCCATTCTATAGAAAAAAAACCACAAAGGCCCTTTTAGAAGATATGCATTGCTCTAATCTGTCAGTTAAAAAAAAAAATACTCATTTTGCTCCATCCCTGAAGGCTTCATGACTATTGTTATGGAACTTTAATTCATCTGAATTCCTTTCACTTCAAAGGAAAGTATGTTCAATGTGCTGAGCCAATTAATGCTCAGTAAAAGATGGCATTACAGTAAAAACAAATAAGTCTCTTTTACAAACTTCTATTTTTGAAGTATATTTTATTTGAAATGAAGCAATCTATTACCCCAAGCCTAATGAAAGCGTGCTTGACATGAAAGGTTATTAAACTATATTCTCATGTATCTGAATCTATACAACCACTGGAATAGTTTACGGATTTTGATAAAAATTGATAATTTCAGACTTAGTTATCAATCATAGAACTGTTCAGAGCTCCCCAACTCAAAAAAGACATGGATCTCCTAGAAGGAGTCCAGCAGAGGGCCTCAAAAATCACAGAATTGCCAGGGTTGGAAGGCACCTCAAGGATCATGAATCTCCAAATGATGAAGGGCGTGGGACATCTCCCATATCAAGAAAGGCTGAGCAACCTGGGTCTGTTCAGCCTGGGGAAAAACTGAGAGGGAATCTGATCACTGTCTATAAATATCTAAAGGGAGGTGGGAGGCAAAAAGATAAGGCCAGGCTCTTCTCGGTGGTGTGTACTGATAGAATAAGGAGCAATGGCCTAAAACGTGAACAAAGGAAGTTTTGTGCTAACATAAACAAGAATTTCTTTACAGTCAGGGTGATGCAGCACTGGAACACACTGCCCAGAGAGGTTGTGGAGTCTCCTGTGGAGGTATTTGAGATCCATCTGGATGCCCACCTGTGTGGCCCATTGTAGGGAACTCGCTTTAGCTGCTGTGGGATTGGACTCAACCTCCTGAGGTACTTTCCACCCCTCAAATTCTGTGTAATGGCTTGGGTTGGAAAGGACCTCAATGAGTAATTTGCCTGTTTTCAGAAATCAATTAATTCAGTTTCATCAGAAAGATAACTAGATTTTCAAATAAACAGATGTCTTCACCTGTCTTCATGGCTTCCCGTACGAACGTCCTTCATTGCAGCAAACCCACAAGGCACTCTTGCATACTTGTTTAGGTTTTCAATGAGTGTTTTTCCTACTTCTAGATAGTAAGGATCCCCTGTAGCCTATTAAAACAAATAAAAACAAACAAACAGGTGCACTCAGACTTACCATACTATTAGCAGTTTTTATTTTACTAGCAGTAATATTATTTCCATAGCTTCCTAGACACCAGTAAGGCTAATTTCTCAAAAGTACTCAAAAGTCACAAAGGGGACCTCAGACATGTTGTCATTTTTGCAGATATGCACACAAGCACATGAAAATGCTTACAGAAGTCCAAGACATTAGTTGCAGCTCTGTAAATTACAAAGTAGTTTTTGTACTCAAGTCTCTAGATGATCCCTGAGAGAGCTCAAGAAACACTAAATAACTTTAAAGTGTGGTCTTTTGACATACAGTGTCTTTCTTTTTTAATTCTAGGCATATAAAACAACATTTCTAGAACAATTTTTGATACCAATAATGCTTCCATCTGGAAGTATTACAGAATAGCCTGAAGACAGGCTACTCATTCTGTAACTGAAACAAAGCACCAGCAAAACCCTTGGTGCAACCAAAAGTCAGAAGAATGAAAGTGACTTTACCTTATACAGGAAGTAAGTGCTTTCAGCAAATTCAGGCCTTAAAGGATGCTGAGCCCAATGAACTCTGAAGTCTGTTGTGAAAGCCTGAGGAAAAAACCCCCCCAAAAACCAAAATAAATAGTCAGAAATAAATTCAAGAATAAAACCACATAGCAGTTTCTTCTGACATCCACATTAACAGTACTACATCAACTACAGTGCACTAGTGGAGGACTGAAGGCCCAGTATCAACCTCTGGACACCACAGGAACCTCCATTCAGTTAGTACATTTCAGGTCAAAACCTAACACAGCACTGTAGCACATTTAGCACAAATGAGATTAAGCTGTGCCAGCACTGGAATCCTGACACCATCCAGCCACTTGAGTGTGTAGGGCTCTCAGGAGGTAAGAGGAGCCAGCTGAAAGTTTGTGCTCCAGTCCCAGGAGAGAGCATGCAGCCTTCAATCTCCTCCACCTGCTCAAGCACACTGCTGCAATCCAGGCAGAGAAGCCTGATGCAGGGCTGTTACAGAGACTGAGCAGAGCTGACAAATACCATATCTGCAAATACACTACCACCTGACACTTCCACTACATTAAAGTGTCATTTCAGACTGACAGATTGTAAGCAATTGTTTCTAACATAAGAAATGCCAGAGACCAGAAGGCAGTTACCTGAAAGTTTCCCATTCTATGCATTCACTCTTAATATCCGCTGGCACTTCTGTGACAGATTACATTAATTACTAGTTCATACTAAGGTTTAAACACTGCCTTTGCTATAGGGTATGGCATATTGGCTTAAACACCAGTAAGAGATCTTCCAAAATCTCCCTTCTCCCTGAAAAAATATCTTTAGCATTAATGCCATTATGTTACCAAACAGCTACAACCACGTGTGTTTATATAAACTATGCAAATTGCAATGAGACAAAGTCAATTTTGAAAGGCTGAAACGCAAAGTCTCAGCAATTATTAATCATGATTACCATGTTAATTACAGCCTAGCTAAATGACAATATTTCACCTTCAAAACAGCTGTCATTAGAACTGTAAATTGCATAAGAATGGAAGTGAGCCTCTGATTTTAATGACGTGATACCTACTGCTGTTTCGAATGGATAGCTGACACTTTTCAAATTAAGAATTAATTTATATGATCAAATCCCCATCACCTTACCTCAGGAAGAAAGTTATGCTTCTTTATAACTTGATACAGCATCTCATGAGTTTCAATAGCAGGTCTAATATCACCTTTCAATACCTAAAATTCAGTAACAAAATAGACACGAACTTACCACACACACAAATGATATTTGAAGTTAGGCACACTCACACTGCACACCAATTTCTACATTTGCAGCAGATACACACTGTAAACATCACCCTCTTTCATTCTAAGCTATTGATAATCCTTAAGAAGTTTTTACACACATCACTGAGCTCATGAAGACTGCCTGCATAGAAAAAGGATCTTTACCACTTTCAGACAATGGTTGTGGAAACATAATTCAGTTTGTCTTAAAGATGTAACTAGCAAACAAACTAAAAAGTTTGTATCTAGACTACTAAAAAGGCAATTTAATTCAAGTGTCTTCAGGAGTGAAGGATGAGAATCATATGGACGTGCTTTTCTTGATGCACATCAATTTGCACCATAGCACAGAAACTGAGTACAGAAACTTCAATTCAGTGTTTTTGAAAACCAAATGACAAAGCTTGACTCGTTACTTATATATCCAGTCTATCTAATTGTTCCCTTCTTATTAAAATTAATCTGTACACAGGTTTTTAAACATTACCTGCAACCCTGGGAAGAATGCCAGCAAAGAGTCCATCCAGGTCCTAGCATTTAGCATTGGCTTATGAATATGAACATCAAGAAGGAGAGGTGGTTGGCTAATGTATTTCATTATGGCATCATAGTGCTGACAAATAACAGGAAAATAACAAGCTTATATTATCAACACACTTTAAGAGACAGATTTATATAAACAACCCTATGGCATTCTGTGTCAATGGAAGGACACGTACAACACTCTCAATCATTACTGCATTTGGCAATGCCTATGAGTTTCAAGTTTCGCAAGCAAAACAGGTAGCAGGTATTGCAATGCTCCACAGTATTACACATGCTATTCAAGTCACATTTTCCAAGGTAACATATGTAGAAAGGGATACTCAGCAGCCACGTCGTAAACAAGCAGCTATCACAGTTAGGGTCGGATATTAGGAAGAATTTCTTCTCAGAAAGAGCAGTGAGACTCTGGCACAGGCTGCTCAGGGAGGTGGTGGAGTCACCATCCCTGGAAGCGTTTAAGGAAAGGGTAGATGTGGTACTGAAGGCCATGGCTTAGAGGGCAATATTGATGGCAGGTGGACGGCCAGACTAAATGGTCTTAGAGTTCTTTACCAACCTGAATGGTTCTATAATTTTAAGATAAAAAAGTGTTTTTATTGCATATTGCTATTTTCGAAAGAAGGAATATTCTTATGAAAGAATGATGCTGATGGAGTTACTGAAAAACCTTACAAATTTAGGAATCTAAGTAAATATACTTAAATGTGTGCTGGTCCTTAAGATCTGCAACACAATGAAAGATTTGGGTTTTGATTTTCAGATTTTATTGCTCCAGAACAGAAGGAAGTTGTAGCATGATTTGTAACACGAAGCCTTTTCACTGTTTTAAAGAAATCCTTTCAGTATTATACCAGCCACGACAATCTTGAAATACAAATTCTCCTGTACTGGAAAACTGTCTAGAAGATTCCTACCTTCATTGGCTGGAGTTACAATAGCTGCTGGGGGGATAGATCAACCCAGATTAGCAAAAACTCATTAAAAAGAGCTGGCACTACAGACATCAGAAGTCACAGGAATTCTGCTAAAGATCACAGACTAACAGATGACTTACAATACAGATGACTGACAACAGTCTTAAATTAGCCAGAACAGGAGGAACAACCCCGAGCAAGGTGTTAACTTACCGTGTTAAATCTTTCCAGGAAACTGTCATCTCCCAGCAAGACGTAGGCTTTTAATAAATATTCATAATATGAATCTATTCCCGCTCCAACTCCACTATCTAGAAGCAGCAGAAAATGAAAAGTTGGTTTGACTTTAAGTAGCTACAAGAGTACTTTCACATAACTTCATTTTGATATTAAAGACGCTTTCAGTAAAAGGAAAAGCTGTCTGTAACTAGAATTAAGGGGTGGATGGATGCAGATACACAGTACTGTATGCCTACACTAAAGACTTTGCAATACCAATACACATAATAACACAGACATGCATTTAAGCTGGCTGTGCTTTTCTCTTACGAAAAGATTTCTACTGACTGCCATATACAACCACAGTCCTATCTGTATTTTCACAGTGTGTTTATAGCAGGATCTTTGAAAGGAATGCCTTGAGATGCACTATCTGAGCACTAAAGTGAATCAGAGAACACCCTTGAAACAAAGGAAACTAGTTTCTCAACCAAAGTACGCTTTCAGAGGAAAGTCAGGCCTCAGTTTAGCACATTTATCTTGCTCCATGTGCCCATCCCATTAACATTTTAAAGCAGTCTATATAAACATAGGGGGGGAAAAATTGTCAACATATTTTCCTTGCCCCAAACCACCTGCTCTCAGCAAGCCTGGACTCAGAATAGCACTCACCTTTGCGGACCCAGTCTCCTGTGTGAATATTAATTGTAACACCCACCAAATTGCTGCTGCGCTGCCTCTTTTCCCAAATGAAGTCAAGAGCTTTCCGTGCATATTCCTGCAACAACAGAACACTGTTAAAGGAAATTACAGAAGAACATAGATAAAGACTGTTATTGTCTACTGAAATTAAGATGCTGTGAGCTATTAAGATGTTTCATGTCTCACAAAATTATAGAACTCAGTACAATGCTGCATATACTTAAGTAGCAGCACATTCAGTCTACGTTCAGTGTAAGTAGTTACAGCAGGCCCCTACTGAAAGACCACAGATCTGGATTCGAAAGAGCCTGCCTTCTTTAGAATAAAAAAACCACCACCCATAAACTTAAAAAATATCATTTAGCTTTCTGCTGACATCAAAATCAAACCCCCGGTTAGGTGTTGTACAACTTCACTGGGACTGTATTTGTTGAGGCACTTCTAAAAATACACTCTAATGTACAGCACAAAACCATAATACCAATGGTTTTATGATTTCTTCTCTTTGTTAAAAGGGACATATTGTTGTTTTACTATTTTAATCTTTCCTGCTTTGTGACAAAGAAAACAGAAAAAATATTGTTAAGACAAAGTCTAACCCAAAATATCAGAACAGTTTTCTTACCATACTAAAAACCTCATTATCACCTGCAGTGACTGCTTAGTATTCTTGGACTCACCGAATCTCTCAAGAGACTATAATTTAACCTGAGCAAGAGGTGTTTACTAACTACCAAACAGTAAATCTCAACAAAATGGCAAACGTTTAAAACAAGTGAGCATATTATCTAGACAGGTACCAAGAGACGGTTCAAAGAAGGGCAGTGCACAAATGCCTGCAGAATGCTGATTGCTAGCAGGATACATGGCAAAAATATCACAAGAGTGATTAATTCTCCCTTTTTTAAGTTGATTTTCAGATACAAATATCTCACGGACCTTCAAGAAAAGGGTCACTTTTCCTGTTGCTTGCCCTGACCCCTCTATCTTAAACCTACGTAAATAACATCCTCTTGCTAGAGTCTTCAGGTTGTTTGTTGTTTAATTCTGTATTATTATAATTATTTTCAAACAAAATCACTTCTTGTAAGCTTTCAAGAAAGTCAAATGAACACTGTTAGGAAGAAGCCCCAAAACACAAACCTGAATGCATGAAGACCTTTTCTGCAGAACCCTTAAGATATGCACCCATTCCAAATTACAGAAATGTAACAAAACAAATGAATACCTAATCCCCCAAAAACCAAGAGATGAAAACAAGCAAACCTCAAATATAGATGTTCCTGTGAATCGGCTTAAAGCTGCAAACTCAAGGATCAAGGTACCTGCACAAGCTGTGCAGGTGTCAGTTTCTGTTCCTGTTCGTGCCTCTGGATGTCTTACACCAAACTTTAAATTAACCTAAAGAAAAGCAGAGATTTTTACCTTTATTTTTACTAGCTGCAAGAATTTATACCCGTGTAGTGAGAATTCACATTCCCATCTGTAGAGCAATTAGATCCACACATTTTCCAGGACAAAAAAAAGACGACAACTCCCACCTTTAATTTTGCTCTGTTTCACCACGTATTGCCACCTCAAACACACACAGAATCATCCAGAACAAAGACAAAAACAACCAAAGATCTGTGGTGTGGTTCACTGGACATTCAATTAAAGAATACCATTCTGACAATCAAGTCCTAGCAATTTATTGACCTGAAAACCCAAACTCAGACCATCAGAAGTGCTCCTGGAATTAAGCTCTGCAAACATCTCAAAACTCCTGGCTGGAGGGGGTACCAGCAGATGGAGCTGCTTTTGTACCAGGCACATTCAAGAGAGGATCATCAAACCAGAATGTTGAGAAACACCAAACATTTTGCAACAGACCTTTCCAAGTAGAAAAATGTTGATTCACTGAACCTGAATCTGTCATTCAAAGAATACATACCATGCTTTGTTTGAATATGACAGATATTTTGTTAAGTGAATGTTTTTAATTACAGCTTCTCAGTTACATTTGCCCTCTTAAAGATCAGATGCTGACTATGAAGTTGAACCAGTTCTGTGTTCACGTGCTCACTGGTTAATTTTTCACTGGCTGAGAGATACGTGCAAAAACAAAAATTACTCTCAGCTACTTGCTGGTGGCTACAGGAGCAAGAAACCAGCAGACAGCAATGAGACAATATTGCTGTGTTTGTTATTTACCCACAAGAGTGTATATTAGAACTGTCAGAGCTGGAAGCTTGGGGGTTCAAAGCACCTAAAGCTGTTTGTTTTTTTTTCCCCCCTGTATCCTTAATACACGTGCAAGAGATCGCAGAAATTGAAATTAAAACCAAACAAGAAAGATTTTGCTTATGGAAGTACTTCTGAACTGCAGAATGCACAGAACTTACTCTTGGGTAAGGGAGACCACTAGTGGTGTTAAAGGCAGGTAAAAGCTTGTAGCCCAGCTCCTTTGCCATGTGCAGAAGTTCGCCGTTGTACCACTGCATGTGTTCACCTTTGTCTTTCAGCATAATTGCCACTGAATGACCACCAAGGAGACCACTAAAAACAAGAGGAAACATCCACAGCTCAATAGGTACATCCATCTAAACAGCAGTGCAGCAGTTTCTGTGATGCAGATGACTATGTAAATAACTGGGCTGTGATCACAGTTTTCAGGAAGGCTAAGCAGATGCAACTACCATCAAGAATTTTAAGAGTATTTTAAGAGCAAATCTTATTGTTTAGGACTCTCCCAAGCTACAGATGAATCACCAATTCATCCACAGTTGTTCAGGACAGCTAGCACCTCTCACTGCACACAGCTTAGAGCTAACCTGCTTTGGTCAGGAAGTTGCAGTGGAGGCCTCCACAGGTCCCTTCCAATAGGAAATAGCTTCCTATCCTAAGTACTGAAATAGCACTGAGATGCTCTATTAAACCAAGTATTGAGCAGTGCAATCTTTACGACTGTTTCCATTACAACAGAATACTGCTCCTTCAGCACACATAGGTTCTTTTTAATCAAAGAAGCTGTGCCTGCAGCAGTCAGACGGGGTCAGCTTGATTCAGTACCGCTGCATTGATTCCTGCCTAGCATTTTAAAACCTTCCTTAGGGCAGGTGTTGAATTATGCTAACTGACAAAGGAACAACTATTCTAAACGAGGTGACACAGCATACAGGAATGCCTTAAGGACATTTAACTAAAAATAAGAGTTGTAAAGAACTCTGAAAATGTGAAAGTTACTCACCCAAGGACTCTTATGTTGGTTTCAAAGACAGATACAACTATGTCGTTATCTAAATTAACATCCTTTATTACTTTTTTTACAGCCTCTTCAAACTCTTTGGTTTTATTTAACACCTGGAATACAAACATAACCAAGTGTTTAGGTTCCAACACAGCTTTATGCAGTCATACAGTGGGGAAGAACAAGAGCAACAGTTTAATAAGGAAAGCATTTCAGACACCTTGCATTGGTATTCTGGTCATGTTCTGATACACTGTGAACAGACATTACTACTATTGCTTTTCTAAGGAGATAGAAGAAAGCAAATGAAAGCATTATGCAAAGAATAAAGTGCAAAGAATAAAGTACAAGGAATAAAGAATATACCTTAACTATTACCCAGCTGTTTGTGTGTTCCCCTATCCACAGCATAACTGCAGTGCACCAGGGTGCAACAACAGTGCAAGCAGAGACTGGGCCGTTCCACTGCCTCCAGTTAACAGAAGCCTCCTATCTAAGCCACATCCCAAACTCAGTGAATGTCCCCTCAGCCTTTTTCCTCCCAGAAGAGTTCTCCTTTTGCCTGAAGAACAGCTCCAGCATTTCCTACAGGTTTGCTTTCACACTGACTTTTTTAATCCATCTTTAAGAACTTTTGTGACTTATCCAATTCATTACCTAAGTGCCTTTAAATCCAACAAGTATTAATCCTGCCCTAAGACAAGAAAAGAATAAAATCCAATAATCCGAGAGTAACAGACTCTGCATTTTCAACATTTGTGATTCAGGGACAGCCAAAGGTCATCTCACAGCAGATCATGAGGAGAGAAGAGCTGTCGGAAGATGAGCATTACATGACTCACACACCAAGTCAGTGCAGTCAGGATTTTCAGAGCTTTAAATTGATTTGCTGGGAGATGTGAATGGCCAAAAATGATCCCTAATTTCCAAAATCTATTTTATGACTACAAGATACGTCAAAAAAGGACTGAAGTCTAACGGGAAGTACTACATTGACAATTGGCATCTTTCAGGAAGAGGTTGTGGCAACACTTCCTGGCACATGTGCCCAGGGTGCACTTCTTAAATACGCATTTAAGTCCCTGCAAATTCATCCACAAAACATGCACATGCAATTTAAGAAAACAAGCAAACAAGAAAACCACCTCAGTAGGTAGCAGAGGTGTTCACCTCTCAGTAAGAATGTTACTTGAAGCTATAATTGATAAAAAACCTTGCTTACATTTTTGTTAAGACAGAGCCCAAGAAAGGATAAAGCATCAGTGAAATACAGAGGAAGTGTTCTAGTATTGCAATCAATTCTGACTACCACCATTACAGCACTTTCCAGTTCCACAGCAGTGGCCAATTCTAACAGATGGCTAAAGATCACAGGTGATGAAGCTGTAGATATTTTTCAAACAAACCAAATCTGAAGTCAGGTCTGAACACCAGAAGACAGTATTTTTGCTCTACCCAAGTTTACCAACAAATCAAACCTACCACAAGAGTGTCCAAGGTATCAATCAAGGTCAGGGAGAACCTATGAAATAAGATGTGAAATGGATTCATTATAAACCTGTGCATTTAAAAATTACGTCATTTAATAGCAATTTTAAAAGCAGTAACACAGAAGTGAGGATTATAAAGATTCCTTTATTTACTGCAAAGCTTTTAAAGCTATTGTAAGCATTTTTATTTCTCTTCTCCAATAAAATCTATTGAAAAGAGACCCAGCATTGTTCAAAGTCTTTTTCAACCTCTTCCCTCACCTTTCCTTTTTAAAAAGAATGGTGAACTTATTAAATAATAAAAAGGTTTCATTTATTTAGAAAGATCAAAAAGTCGCTCCAAACAGAAACTGCTCCATATATCTATTTCAGGAAAAACTACTGTTTGCTGCAATCATACTCAGTGTTCAACTCAGCAATGAAAGAATAAAGAAAGTGTTATTTTGTTCTCTTTGCAAGGCTTTTAAGAGAGACATGGTACCCAGCTGCAGTAGGATGCACTGTTTGCAAAAGGAGTATTGCAACAAGGCTTGTCCTAAACCCTTATTCTTCTCTGGGCTGTTTAGTGCACACGAAGTTGGGTGGATGTTTGGCTAAACACAGTGAAGTCATTCTTAAGTTAACAGACAGATAGCACTCATGGAAAAGAATTCTTAGAATATGAAGCAACTGTCTCAACCTGTGATTTTCCTTTGTAAAACCACGCATGACTGCAAAGAATAGTATAGAACACAACTGATGAGCCAGCTGGCAAGATAAAGTATTATAAAAGAAATCCAATGCCTAAAAACATAGCTGATTAGTAGGACCATAAAATGGTATGTATGCAGAAATATAGGTATTTGAACCATTCAATGCAACTACAGGACTGAAAGGCATTTTCACTCAAATGACAGCAAGCTACTGCGTAAATAAAGGTCATTAAAAAGAATGGCCAGGTTAAAAATCCAAGTTTTCAACAATTCTTTCTCATCAGTCATCTCTCTCAATACCTCCAAGGTTGATCCATGCAGTTTTAAAGATAGCAAGACTATATAAGAATCTGTAGAATAAGTTTTCTATGTAATAAAAAATAACCAAAATGACACAATAACATACAGTGCGTTACCTTAAAGCACTCTGACTTTGATTAATGCCATTCTGGCGAAGAACATCAATAAAACCATCATCTGCTGCTATTTAAGTATTTGCTTTAGGAACATAAACTGTCCGCATACAGACAACACTTGTGGGGAAAAAGATCTATTAGAAACACTTAGAGAAATTAAACTGTGGCTCTGATTGCTCGATTTAGCTTGGAGAATTTAAAATCTACATTTTGTTGGCTAAAGGATCAGTATTTTATATTACAGTTTATCCTAAGAGAAAAATTATGAAGAACTTCCAGCTCTGAAATAACGGTTTATACTCAGGCAAGGGCCTCAGGCTATCATGCATGTGATGAACATTTGACTAATTATGTTTTCTCAGAGCCTTCTACTAGAGAAAGCATTTTAAGTATCACTTATAAGGCCAGCATAATGGATAGCAGCTTACTGTTTTGTGCAGCTGAAAATTAACCCCTGTATTTAGTAGTTACTTGGTTAGGTTGTGGTTTGACTTTATGATCCTGAAGGTCCTTTTCAACCTGAGCAATTCTATGATTCTGTGATACACTCACTAACACTATAGCTCTGCTCCCTTAGCTCTGCTACAGAAAACACTTGCAGAATAAATATATATATAAAAATTATCTTTGCATCTTAATCAGCAGTCAATTCTCTTTTCCTGATTAAGGTACAAATCCACATCAGTTAAAATCATGGGAGAAATGGAAAAGCCATTTCTGCCTAAGTGGAAGAAGTTAAACAACTATGGGGTTTTTTCCAATAGCTTTTTTTCCCCTTCATAGGAGAACTTTTGAGACAAATTACTGATCTGCATGCTCCCACAGAATCTTTGACAACAAATAATTGTCTGGGCACGTTGGCTGAACAGCCAAGTGTTACAGGTTGCAAGCTGTATGTAGATTCCTAGAGGCTTAGATGTGTCAGTAAGTGTTTCAAACACTGACTTTCCCAGGGCATCATCCACGTCCCCACGACTCGGCTCCTGACCCCGCACCCGTCCACGACAAGTTAAAGGCATGAGTTCATCAGCTGGATAGGCATGATCCTGCAGGGAAACAAGGGAAGACAGTTTGAACTGTTACAGCCATTCCAATGAATCTTCAGAGCTTGCTAAAAGCAAGTCCAGTTCTGTTGTACTTCATTAAAAAACAATTAATTGCAGAGCTGAATAGAGCAACAGGAGCTCACTCTCCAGCCTCCCAAAGAAGTCTGGAACAACCAACAGCACAGCCAAAAAATACCCCCAAGATCCACAACTCACTACTAATCTAGATTAACAGCTGTGTTTTTAGAAACAAGGTGCATACAAAAATTACATTTCTTAGGCAGAAATTATCTTTTAGATGAGCTGAAGAACTGGTACTAACGCAGGCTTTGTCAAGGAACTGGTATTTCATGGACAAATCAGAGGGAATCAGACCTCAAAGTCACTTTGGGAACTCTTCTAGGTGAACATAAGTGACTCAGGGTCACAATCAGTGACTGATAAGAGAACTCACTTGGAAGGTAAAACAGTATGTTAAGTCATTACACAAAGCAGAACAAAAGGTAACATTCAGAAGAAGCTTCATGAGACCAAGCTCATTAAAGGCTTCATCGAATTGAAGAGCACAGCACTGCTACAAGTGTGTAGGAAATGCAAAGGCTACTCCCATTCTTTCAGAAAAGCTCCCTATAGAGCAAGAAGCAGTGTAACATGACTTCCTGCCACTGAGACAGAAGTAACAGCAGGGCACCATTCAACTAAGCCAGGCACACTGCATACCCCCCTGTTCATACTTCATGTTGCTGTAAGCCTTGTAGGTTTAAGCTGCCACCAAAATAGGATATCTCATGAAGTACACCTAAATATGAAATTCACCACTGTGCAGCAGGAAATGTTTATTGAAAAACTGCAAGAGGGGCCAACAACATTCAGAAAGATGAATCTTAAACAGACCTAATAAAAAAAAAAAAGCACATACACGAGGAATTGTTTCTCCATTAGAAGTCCTACACTGGCGACAGAGCCCACTCGATCCATCAGGAAATTGGCACTGCACCATTTTACAGCCTGAGTAACTAACATGACAGGTTAAAAAAGTTAAGTTATTGCAGCTGAAACTGCAAGTAAACATATTCTAAATCTATCCAAATATACAGTAAAAAAAATCTACATCCAAACATGAAACAGAAAGGCAAAGGAAAAGCAGTCTTCTATAAATAAGCAGCTCTTACAGCTACTTCTTTGAAACTGACGGTTTGTTTCCCCATCTACCACCCGGGTATTTGGATCTTTGCACAACTCTTTGTTCTCCTCAAGCACAACGACAAAAGCCAGAATCTAGATCATGTTAACACGGCTCAGATGTTTCTGAATATCTGTGCAAAGTGTTCAGAAAAAACAGACTCAAGAAGGACATGGCAAAAGTAAAGTTAAAACTAAGATCACTGGCTTAAGGAGAAAAAATGGTGATAATAAAAGGAGAAAATCAGCTTCTAATCTACACCATAAGGAACCAGAAGTGTTTGGGAGAACAGAAGCTCACGTAGACTATCCAGAACAGGAAAAGGCTGTCATATCAAGTGATACCCAGCTTTTAACTTGTCCCCTTCAAGTAACCTCATAGGGAGGAGACCGACATGAAATACAAAATATGGCACATGTTTCAATAAGCATGCTTCAGGGAGTTACTGTACAAATACACTCCATGGATACTCTGGAACTGCAGCACAATCTGATAGGAGGGACAATCATGTTTCCTAAATCAGGACTGTGTGTTCAGTGCAACATGGTACTTGGATAAAGAAAAAAGACACACCTGCTCCTGGTGCTGCACCTACAACACAGAGGGCATGCAAACATGAATTTTCAGTCTTCCAGCAAACACAATTCTACAACACTTATTAATAGAAACAGAAAAGCAAAGCTTTTCAGCTGGTTGTTTCAGAAGCGGCTGCAAAAATACACTATTTTCTTGCTGTAAGAATCCAACATCCTAATCTTTTCTTCAGCTTTGAACAAACAAGCCACACTTCTGTTTGTTCAGTGCCCCAGCCTACATGGCAAGTAAATATCCTTTTGGCTTCAGAGTTTCCAGGATGGCTGAAGTCATTCCTCTCCTTAATTAGAACTTTTCTCGTTTCAGATGTGGCAAGACATGTAGCAGCTCCCGGCTTATCACAGCCAACAGGAGGAGCACAGAGCCCTACTACAGCCACACACCTTTTTGTCCAATTTGACCAAGTACCTAACAGTTTTTCCTTCAGAATGTGATTAGAAATCAAGCCAAGGGACTTGAACAGACCCAGATAACTAGCTACAAATCATCACCAAAAAGCCTGACGCTAACTGAACTGCTAAGGTGCCCAAAAGCAAGGGTCCATGTTAAGAAGGGAACTGCAACTCATGAAAATACTGCTTGGCTTTCTACATGATAATTCAATGCCACTCATAATGTATATACACTTTTAATTGACGAGCTTTTAAGCTTCCCTATGTTTTAAAGAGTAAAGTCACAATATAGAAGATGAGACACGTGGCACGATACTGACACGTCTGTCCTGCAGGAACAGGTGCAACTGAAAAGAGAGGTTTCTGCCACAGCCACAAAGAACACAAGAATTGCTTTGCTAAACTCAGCAAGAACAAATATTTTATATTAGCCACAGCTTCTCCTCAGCAATGTATTACCTCAGAGCATGTTTAAAAATAATTTGCTTGAGAAAGTCAGCGCACCATATCTAACCTAAGCTAACCTATTTCAAAGTTGATTAGATTGCAAACTGGCTCCGCATACTGAGAGCATGAAGACACCTGCTCAGAAAATCACAAGCCATATGAGAAGAAACCAAAGCAAGCGTGGCTCGCTGTCATATGACAGTCACATCCTCAGAAGAGGAGAGAATGCACAGATTAGACATCAAATCCTCTTTTTTCCTCCCCTGTTCTACAAAGCGTACTTGTTTGTCCAAGAACTACCAAAGTGCATCTAACATACCTTCCTTTACAAGAAGTATTTGACTTAGTTTGTACCCACAAAATAAACAGGAACCACCCAAACTCTCCAGGATCAGATGACTACAGAGTTCCCAGCTACCAATCTGAAATCCACTGTAACTCTTCTGATATCTCTCTTCCTGAGTAAGATCTGTTAAGCTCTTTCTGAAGGGCATACAAATGCTCTTTTTTATTTCAACTTTGTTTTCCCTAGTACCCTCCTGATGCATCTGTAGGACATCATGCACTGAAGGTGGCTTTCTTTTCCAGGTCAGCCATAACAATTATGAAAAATCAGAAGCAAACAGGTACTTTTCTTACCATATAATTGCTATATGCGTGGTCAAACATTTCCAGCACTTGGTTTCTAAAAAACAAAGCAAGGGGGGAAAAAAAAAAAAGCAGCATTAGTGGTCTGTCCCACAATGTCCTTGAACACACCATCTTAGAACAGCAAGATGTAATACATTCTGCATCTGAGTTTCAGCTCCAGCTATTTTAGCAGTGCACTCTATTCAAGTAAAAGCAATGAGGCAAAAGTTTCTCCTAATCTGGCTACTGTTCAAATTTTTCTTCACTAAACTTGAAGTACTTCACATGAGGACTCTCTTCCAGCCCCCTGTGCTTCCTCTTAAGCAGCTGTAGGTGTCACCACGCATGAAAACTGGAGATGGGACACATTCCTGGCTCAGCAACAGCCAGCACAGTTACACTCTTCTCGTAATCACCCACACTAAAACCAACTGACACAGCAGAAATTCCTGTCCATGATTCAGATAAGTTACGAGGTACTTCCTCGTGTTAGGGACCTTGGCAAGCATATGGTAAAGAAGATCCTTGTAGACACATTTTACACATTAGAAAAGCAGTCCATGTGAGAAACACTGCTATACAAAGCAGTGCTGTTTCTCAGAGAGACAGCACTGCTTCCAACCATACCTGTTTGACAAAGGAGCCCTGCAAGGCAAAAGGGCATGCTGATTCCTAAGCTAACACCTACATCATTCACTACCTCCGCTGATAAGACCAAACACAAAAGAAACAGGAATTATGATCTAAATTGCTGATTTAATTCAACGAGCTGAAGCTGAGCCATAATTTCCACTGCCCCAGTGCATTAAGCCTTTGGAAGCATAGATGGGACTCCAGTTCCCAGTGCTTCAGGGACCACATCTTGCTGGGACCTGCTGCTGCAGCCTCAGCCCAGGGCTCAGCACACAACGCTGCTCCGTGATTCAGTGCCCAGAAAGCTGTTCACAGCTTCTGTCTCTCTACGTGCAATTTAAGTTCACAGGATGTTTGCTGAAAGCATCATTGTCATGATTGTGTCGTTGAGCAGACACACAGAGTGCCTGCAACTGACACAAGTCACAAAGAGCAGTGGGATGCACCAATGACAGATGCAGATTCAAGCTGTGAATGCTGAAGTTTTAAACCAAACAGTAAAGTTTAAACTCATTATGCAGTCACATGGGAAAAACATGCACCACTATTCACTGTGAGCACCCTGAGAACCCGTGCTGCAAAACCTCACCAACTGCAAACGTGACCACAGTTGTATAGCAGCTTATACCTAATGATTAATAACTGAAAGGCAGCACAGTACTTCTCTAGCACAAATAGCACCACTGCTCTGCAGCTGATGCGAGGGGTGAAGCTGCCCCAGCAACACATGGAAATCACAGAATGGCCAGGGTTGGAAGGGACCTCAAGGATCATGAATCTCCAATCCCCCTGCCACATGCAGGGCCACCAACCTCCACATTTCATACCAGCCAGGCTGCCCAGGTCATGCAATCATGACGTGCAGTTCATCTAAGGTCTGCCAGAGCAATGCTACTCCACGCAGTGCCAGTTGTATGGCAGTCTTTATCCTTCAACTAACACCCACAGCAAAAGCAAGCCAGCTTCTTACAAGCAAACAAACAGGAGCTACGATTCTATCACCAAAGCTCAGGGGAAGAGACGGTCCTCCCCAAATCACAGCACCTTACCTAAAAGATTTGCATGTGATCTCGCTGTTTTAAGCGTGGAAGTGCACTTATAGCTGTGAGTGCCTTCTGGTTTTGGCCGAGGCACTTTATGTACTGCGATTAACCCCAGCACAGGCTGATGACAGTGGGCACAGCCCTGAGCTGGGCACCGCTCACAGCCATAGGGTTGGCGGTGCTATGGGGGCAGGGGTTGGGCTCGAGGATCCCTTCCAGCCCACCACACGCTACGAAATGTAAAGGCTCGCAATCGTTCACCTTAAATACCGACCCCTGGCAGGCCCGCACGTACACTCGCCTCTTCACCTCCACGATACCGGCCGCTCACACGCCCCGCAGCTACGGCCGCACTCAGGCTCGCGGTCAGCTCTGACCGCCTCTCCCAGCAGCGCAGCCCGGCTCGGGGCCGCGGCCCCGCACGAGGCAGCGCCAGCGGCCGCGACAGCCGTGCCGGCGGGAAGCCCGGCCCGCAACGCGCTCAGGGGACGCCGCCGCCGCCCGCTCCCGGCCCCGCCGCGCTCACCCCAGCCGCCGCTTCTCCTCCTTGCTCATGGCCCCGGCGCCCGGCGCTGCCGCCAGCACGGAGGAGGCGGAGAGGAGGCCGAGGGCCAGGAGCTTCCACGGTCTCCTCCAGCGAGGCCCCCGCTCTCCGCCGCCGCCGCCCCGGCAGCCCGCAGCTCCGCTCATGGCCGCCCGCCTGCCCGCCGCTAGGCCCGGCTCCGGCACCGGCCGCGGCCCATTCCGCCCGCTGCCCGCCCCTCGTGGCGCGGCGGCCGCGGCTCCCGGCGCAGACGCGCAGGCGGAAGGGCCCGGCCCGGCCCAGCGCTTTCCTTTGGCGTAGCCAGGGAAACCGCCTCGAGCCGCCGCTTCCGGGTCCCCCCGCACGCGCCGCGTCGCTCAGCCAATCGGAGCCGCCGGACGAGAGGGCGCAGCAGAGCACGTGACCGCGAATGCACACCGGGCGCCGAGGGGCGACGTGGACAAAAGGAGGGGCGGGCGCGGGCGGCGCGAGGCGCATGCGCGGTCGCCGGGACTTCAATTCCCGGCGTGCATCGGGTGCGCCCGGCCGCCTCCCCACAGCGGAATGGTGCGCGCGGTGCGTGCCGGGAGATGCAGTTCGCCGCCATGAGGCGGCTGCGCGCGCTGCTCTCGTCCGCCCCCTTTCGCTTTTCTACCTATTTACTTATTTATTTATTTACTTACCTACCTACCTACCTACTTATTTATTTGCCCCCTCAGACACGAAGGGCAGCCCGCAGGGCAGGTTATTGCCTGCAGTCCTTGTGTTTAAAAAAGCAGCACTCCGTACCAAGGGATCCCAAACAAAAACACCACCACCCTCCTCCTCGCAGTGGAAGGGAAGAGTGTGCTTTATTGTCTTAATCAGTGTCTGTTAGAGTTACAAGCATCACGTTCTGGAGCCTGCCTAGTGTGGCCAGGACCTCCACAAGTGCCCCCCTTCCCCCCAAATGCCCCCAGCACAGCCCTTTGAAGGGCTTCTCCCATGTGAGAGCAAAAAGCCGTAAAAACTACTCAGCAATGCTTGTTTCTCTGGTCAGTGGCCTGGCATAACTGTGTGTGTTCTGCCCCCTCACAATGTGCTCCTTTATCCTGAGGCCTCGTCCCTCTGTGATCACCAGAACGTACAGGAAAACGCACACAAAAGACACGAGAGCCCCTCACCGCGTTGAACTTCACTTAATGTTTAGTACCAAGGACAAGTAACTACAGAGCTGTTACAAAATAAAAAACAAAAAAGCCGACAGTGTGATAACTAATTATTTGTAAAAAAAAAAAAATGAGCTGGTAGTGGTCTGCAAGTGAGTAATTTTGCACCAAGTATACAGAGGAAACAATACTGCAAAGGACTTTTGCAAGGAAAGGATCTGTGACGCTGATGTTTGTACACCGTATGGCTCCTGCAAGGAGCAGGATTCGTGCTTATTTTACAGTGGTGACACTACACTCGGTTAGTCTACTCAACACACGTAGGCAGTAATGTCTGCCTGTTCCTCTAGTGTCCATTCTCTGTTAGTATTATAGCAGATTTTGATAGCATTACATGATAGACTTTTTACAGCTTGTTAAGAGCCAGTAAGTATGATGCGCTTTGGCAGTTTGCTATTTATTCCCATGCCTTCACGGGTGCAAATTTTACTTACTATGTTTACTTGTTGATCTCGCTGTCCTGCCCTGTCCTGTACTCATTCAGAGTCAGAAACCTCAAGCTAAATTTTTAAGGTGCCCTAGCCTGACCTCTAAAGTGCGGTCTTGATCTCTAAAGCCTGTTTTGTTAAACTGCTGTTTTCATTTCTTTTTGTGCATGCTCTTTAAATGCTGTGTGCAAATAATGCTTATAAGCAGCTTTGTACACAGGTCACAATTTGATGTGGATGACAATACGCTGGCTACAAAAGCAACAGTTCTCATTTTAATTACTGCTTTCAAAACGTGATTCTGCCCTCCCAAAATTTAAGCACAAGTAAATAACCCTTAGCTGATTTTTGCTTCAGTTAATGTCTGTATTAGAGATTATACACAATGATCATGATATTTCACAAACATTGCAATGTAAGATGTTGTGTATGCACCTAAAAAGGCTTACAGAACTGGGTAACTCTAAGTTAAGTCAGTAACAGTGTAAATGGCAGGACTCTTAATATTCTGTATTAGATATCAGTGAGTAAATTTCATGGTGGGAAGTAAAACAAAGAGATGCTGCCTAATGGTTACAGTTACTGTAAACATCCTCATCTTTCCTTTCCATGAAATAAAATAAAATAAAATAGCCATAAAGTGCTCTGGAAGGCTAAATAACCCAGAAGTGCAGAGTGGGACTGAGAAACCTGCTCCCATATTTCCCCCATTTTAAATATAGCAATAAGAAAAAAAAAAAAAAAAGATAGAACACTTGCTTGTCTTTACTACCTGTCAAAACTTCAATATAATTAAGTAATCAGTTGGCAGCCTCTGCACTGGGTGTAGCTTTTGAGCAGCCTACTAAATTAACTATCTGGTACTGCTTGACTACTAAAAGTTTTATTTATTTCCCATATATTGCATGCAAATACTGAATAGTAACCTATGTACCAACCACCTAAGAATTGTAACAGTACTGTCAAATCCATGCATTTAAAAACCATGAGCTACTCCTCTGCTAAAACACGTATTAAGTTGTTATAATAACTTTCTAGTTGGGGATGAGTTGCTTTGGAAGCATTCAGTGGACACATTTTCAAACTTTTCTATAATCATAAAAGGCAGCAAATTTGAAGTGAAAGATGAGGTTTCCCAACAGTGATCTGGTTTTAAACAGAGAGGGTTTTAACTGAAAAGAAACCTATCGCCCATCACTCAGGAAGGGATCTGTAACAAAACTGTAAGAGCTGGTAATACCACAGTGCAGCCCATTTCCTCTAGCTCAGATTCAAGTACGTATTCACAATTAAAGAGGGATTTCTGGAGCAAATAAATCCTAGAGGGCTGGGCTGAAAAATGCTTCTTACTCTTCAGGGCTTTGCTGTACAGAACTATCTTCTCTGTTTTCTTGTGTGAAAACATTATTTACTTCTGAACTTTTTATTTCCACTTGTGAAGATGATTCACCTTCTGGCTTCCCTTCGCTCTCACCAGGCTCAGCACCTGCTGTGACCTGTACAGCACTCGCCTTGTCTGGCTCTGCCACTGACAGAAATGGCACATCTACCAGTCCTCCTCTTGGCTCTTCTCTATTCAGAATGGGCACTTGTGTTGCATCTGGATTTTCAGCAGGCTTATGAGAAAAGCTCTCAGTCCCTACCTCCACCAGGCGAGCATGACTGTTCCCTGCTCCTCCTTCCTCCTCACTTAATCTTTTGTCTTCAGATGCATTTTCAGCATGTTCTTCTGGATGCAATCTATCACTATCACAGTCTCCTCCATCTGTGTACCACATGCTTTGCTTGATCTCAACTTCTGACTTTACCTCTTGAGGTGTATCTGAGATTTCCACCAGCCATTCTGCCTGTGCCACACTGCGGCCAACCTTGGACACATTCCCTATGCTGGTACCATCTGTCCCACAGCTAGATGAAGACAGCTGGTCCTCCTTGAACTCTGTGCATTCTGCTGCATTCTTATTCACCATCGTCTGGCTCACCTGAACTTCTACTGCGGCCGTTTTGCTTATCTCATCGTTCCCTTCATACTCTTGCAGCTTTACCATCTCAGCTTCACAAATCTCTTCTACCTGCTCAGGTGAAGCATCAGCTGGTAACTCAACCGTTACCATCAGCAAGTTCCTTATCTCATTCACACCATCAAGAGGTTCACAGTTCATTACTTCCATCTTACTTTCCTTCTCAGGATTATCCCTGGATGTTCCTTTCCCTGTGTATTCGTCCTGGGAAGCAACACTAATCTCAGTACTTGCTCCTTGCTCCTTGCTTTTTTCTTTACCACCCTTTTCAAATCCAGTTCCTGCTTCATTTTCACTCTGTGACAGTTCTTCTGTAACCCCTTTTTCTATCTTGATTTTCATTTCAGCACTTCCTAAAATCTCTGTTTCTGCTGTTTTATTAGGTGGGGAAGTCAGCTCTATCTGAACACCTTCTTCCTTCACTTTGCTTTCTTTTTCAGAAGTCACCTTCTCCTCCACTGCTCCTTCATGTACCTTAAGTTCTTTTCCAGGACTGACATCTCTCAATGTATTTTCAGTTCCATAAGCTACTTCTTCCTCCACAGCTTCTTCTTGTGTCTTAGGCTTTTTCTCAGTGTCCCCTACAGAGTCTGCTTTCACCATGCTTTCATTCTCCAAGGAAGTATTTCCCTCTGCAAATTCTTGCTTTGTAGGGGTAGTGGAAAGGGACTCCTGTTTTTCACTGATATCTGCAATGACTTCTTCACTTTTGCTTGCCTTACTACCACCCATGTTAACAGAAATGACCACCTCTTTGTCTGATGGCTTTCTATCCTCATGATCCTTCTCCCACAAAATCTTTTCAGTCACGATGAGTGTCTCCTCACTTTGGGTTTCGGTATCTGATGCTTCCATTCTGGTGGTGGAAGGCTTCTTAGCGGGAGTGGTTTGTGCTGACCCTGAAGGGGTCTTCAGATCAGTTAAACTGGACACGCTTTCACAGGGCAGGTTCAAGTTATCTTCAAAGAGGTTGTGCTTCTTTAGAACGGCGGCTTCTTTTATCACTAAGTAGAACAGAAACATGAAACTGGTTGGAAAGACTGACAGAGGCACACTGAAGAAGGTACATCATTTCCTTGAGTTTCAAACGTCATGCATTTTGATATTACAGACAACAGTAGTTTCTATTTTCAATTTATTTTCAATTTGCTTGTCTTTTTTAGGGGAGGAGAGAAAGATTTTTCTGTTCTGAATAATGGAACTTCAAACCTAAGTTTGACATTGCTATAATGCAAAACTACTACAAGCTCTGTGGTGCAAAAAGGTAATGTTTAAATGCAGAAGTAGTTACACCGAATGAATGAAATAAAGTGTACTCATTACATTAAACATTAGATTGATATTTTGGAGTAGGAGTGCCACAAAGGGGCAGTGGACAATACAGAAGCTTGTCTTTTATCTAGCATGTAGATAGGCAGACCATTCCAGAGAGAGAGAAATATTTCATATATGTGCTATATGCCATAGCATGGCTTCATTTTCATACACACAAGCAAAGAGGTCTGCAGGGAATGCTGCACTGG